ATTTAAGTGGAGTTGGGGGTGGGGTGTGGAAAAGCAAAGAGAATTTATTTATTTATTTATTTATTTTTGGTACTGGGGATCGAACTCGGGTCCTTGCACTTGTGCAGCAGGTGGCAAAACCACTGCGCTAAATCCCCGGCCCTCTGTTTTTATTTTAAAGATTGAATCTTAGGTTAAACACCTTTGTGGATGATTTGTAGCTTTTTCTTTTACAGATGTTTTTTACAGATTTTTTTACATGTTGTTTGAAAGCCTTGTCTCTTTTCTTTATAGGTGTTTGAAGCTGTGATTTCATGGATCAATTATGAGAAAGAGACTCGTTTGGAGCACATGGCGAAGCTGATGGAACATGTCCGACTCCCTCTCTTGCCTAGGGACTATTTAGTCCAGGTGAGTACTTGTCTGTTCACCTAAACCTCTAGGAACAGCAGTGGCAATCCTGGTCTTGTGGTGTGGTTGAGGAGTTTAATGGATCTTTTGCCTGGGCTGAGGGCACCAGCCTACTGGGTTAAGTGTGAGGCTTGGTAATGGAAATTTTGAAGAGTATAGGTTTGAGAATGGGATGCTGAGGTTTCAGTCTCAGCTTTGCTACCTAATAATCTTACTCAAGGCTCATGTCTTCTTTTCTAGATCAGATGACATAACAGAGGCCAGTAGGACTGTGCTGGGTACTAAAGAAGTTGTCAGTCTGCCAGCCAGGTGTTTAGCATGGAAATGTTCAATAAAAATCAGTGGCTTTTCTTACAAAGTACCTAAGCAAGAAGGGCCATTCTCACAATGTTTCTGTGTTCCCTTTCTGCTATAGTTTTAGGCAACTTGAAGGCAAGTCAGGATTGTAAATACCAGCTCCTCATAGGAGTTTAGAACACGTACCATTTTTTCCTCCGGAACAGAAAAGTGACAAATTATAGGGTACCCTCATGGTGCCAGTTTTCTCACTAATCCTGTAACAAGCATTTAAAGTACGGGTTATAACACTCTTTTCACAACTTTGGCCTTGAGGGTATGGAGCTTGTGATTGACCTGGAGCCACTGTCCTGTATAAGGGAGGGGTCAGGATTCAGATCTATATCAGCCTGGCTCTGAAGCACACACGTCAAGCTGGCACCTTTGATACTCTGTTCTGTTTTTCCATTACACCGCTCCTTTGTATAGTAAATATCGTTAGACACTCTTACAAGCAGACAGAAAATAAGCCTTAAGTATGTGAAGCAAACAAAACAGAGAGGCGGTTTACCAGCTCCATTTGTCCCTGAGGGGTCCCTGGAAGGAAGGGAGAGTTTGGTCCAGGATTAAGAAAGGAGGTGGCACCCTGCTCTTCTTATTCCCTTCCAATTTAACCCCTTAAAACCTTAGTTTTCTCACCTGGCTAAAGTAGTAACTGACTTAATAGGATTTTTTTTTTTGGAGGAGGGAACAAAGTGAGATAATCCAGAAAATCTTACAATACAGTGTTCAGTGAAAGCTAGTTGATATTACTATTGTCCTTGGGACTGAGGGTGACATATATTCTTATGAGCACTTGTAAAGTGACACTTGTGACGCTATTGGCCATGGGCCTAAGGGATCCATGAAATGGTCTTTAAAGATCTGCACCTCAGCCTTCTTTACAGGTGCCACAGGATGCTGAAGTGTTCACAGGCTCTGCAAAGACCCTTGGACAGTATACTGCCACCTTGTGGTATCATCTCCTCCCTGTAGAAAAGGACCCCTGAGCACATTCCTGAGCTCCCCCTGTCACTATCAGACCTCCTGCTGTCCTGGAGGGCACTGACCATGGACTGGGTGGGTGTTTGTCCTCCAGCACAGTCCCACTTCTACAGGGAGAGGGGCAGCTAGGGGACCAGAGAAAGCTAAAGAGGCCTTGAAGACTTGTTTACAGCTTCCCTTGGGGGTCCACAACTGAAATTTCATGAAGACATTAGGGAAATAGCTCCTGGATTATTGTGGGAAAGTAGTGTTTGGATCTGGAAAAGAGAGTCAGCAGCAATGGCATGAGCACTGTTATGTGGGAATCCCTTTCTTAAAAAGTGCTTTTCTCAGGCCCTACAGGGTGAATACCTCTGGGATAGGATGTTTCATTAACATTCATTTGACCTTGAAACTTCAAGCAAGTATTACCTACTGGGGTTGGCTGGTCACGTACTGGAGGAGGGGAGGAAGAGAAAACTCTGGAGAGCCTGCACCTAGCACTGACTTCTGGGCTTCACAATAGCTAATGTTTGTCAGGCTTACAGTAAACATTTTCAAATGCTACTCTAAATATATAGCAGATCGGGCATGGTGATGCATGTCTGTAATCCCAGCACTCAGGGGGCTGAGGCAGGAGGATCACTGTGAGTTTGAGGCCAGCCTGAACTACATAGCGAGACCCTGTCTCAAAAAAGCCAAAAACTAAATATATAGCATACTATATTGTGATGAAATATTTATCACATAAATGGGATTTTGACCATTTTAAGTTTATGATTCAGTGGCATTAGTTGCATTCATAATGTTGTACAACTGTCACCATATCCATTTCCAAAACTTCATGCCCCAAATTGAAGCTGAGCACCTGTCAGGACAACTGCTTGTGTTTTGTTTTATACAAACTCATTTGAGCCTCAAAAACGAACAAAACTAGTGAGGTTGTAGATATTTTTAATGTGCCCATTTTAAAAGTAAGGAAACTAAGCACCTGAGATGTTCAGTGGTTGTTCTGGGATTTGAGCCTCTGTCTGATGCCAGAGCTTGATCACTTAACCCTAATGCCCTTGGTATACAGAAGGTGAGCACCGCATTGCAATGCTGCGGACCTTTCTCTGGGTCTGAGATAGTGTGATGTGGGAGGGGATGAGGATGCAGGGATGACCAGGCTGAGAGACACAGCTTGGGAAGTATGGCTGAGTGCTGCTCCTGGGTCACCTGTGGGTTGTTACCTCTAGACAGTGGAAGAAGAAGCTTTGATAAAGAATAACAACACCTGTAAGGACTTCCTCATTGAGGCCATGAAATACCATCTGCTCCCTCTGGATCAGAGGCTCTTAATTAAGAACCCCAGGACCAAGCCCAGGACTCCAGTGAGCCTGCCCAAGGTAAGCCCCAGGCCAGTCCCTGCCACAGTGGAGACGGTGTCCTGGGAAGGGACAGGGCCTTCCATTGCCTCTCTCTCCTCCCCATGGCTGCCCTGCATCTTGGTTGCATCTACAATGCCAGAGACAGAGTCTGCTCATTCCTTTCTAATCTGCTAGTACCTCTTTCTTCTGGGGCTTTCTTTCCTTGGAGTTTTCAGGTAACCTCCAGAGTCACCAGGGAGGTAGAGAAGAACCCAAAGCTCTTCCCGCTCCTGCCTTCTCATTTCACACTGTGGTTTATGCTATTTCTGTTGAAAGCAGAGGACTGTCTTCACTTGGTGACTGATGACCATGATCATCCTAGTTCTAGGTCACCCTTTGAGCCAGAAACATTATAGTCAGGAACATTATAGTCTGGTTCCTTCCCTTACCATAGGGAGCAACACAAAGGACGGTTGGGGCTACCAGAGGGGTGAAGGGGCCTCGAAGAGTCCGACAGGTAGCGAGCAGAGTGATGCAGTGGAGGAAATAAGAACTTGTGGAGAGCAGTGAGGGGAAGGGAAATTAGCATAGGAGGGGACCCTGTGATGGTGAGTCTGAGCTGGGTGCTGACTGCTTGGTTCTCAGGAGGACCCCTCACCTGCCTGACCCTCACCTGCACAGTGAGGGAGGCAGCACTCAGGATCTCTAGAGTCCTTTCAGTCCTGGCATCCAGGTAAATCTTTCGAAAACCCTACCATTCTGATGTCTGTGAGGAAGGTTCCCATGAACCAAGGAAAGAATGCAGGAGGAGAGAGGTGAGCTGTGTTGGCTCATTGAGGGCACAGTTGACAGAACTAGGAAATTACTGTATTTTGGCCCTTGTTTTATCCTCCTTCTCCCTCCAGCTGGCTGCCAATCTCCTTGCCTGCCACTTCCAAGAATTTTTCACAGGATAGAAAAGCATGTTGTTGGAGACTAGCTGTTGTGCCCTTCTGAGGATTGCAGTTTCTTCTTTCCACTCTACTCCATGACCCTGGAGGATAGTGGTTGTGATGTGAATAAATGTCACAAATGTCCCGGGTATTAGTAACAGCAGCCGATTTTTATTAAGTGATTATTATGTGCCAAGTGTTTAGTTGAGGGTATCCCATGCATATGTTACTCAAACTCCTCCACAACCCTGAAAAGTAGAGGAGTTATTACCCTAAATCTACAGAGGAGGAAGCTGAGGTTCAAAGAAGTCAAATGACTGACCCAGAGGTCAGCACTGCTAATGTGGTGATACAAGCAGGGTTTGAAGTGAACCTGTTCTCTGAATCCACACCATGCACCTGCATCTGGCTGCACCTTCAAGAGCCTGAGAGTGTGTGCTTAGCTGTTTTCATCATGTTGCCTAGTGTGGTTAGAGGTAGGAGGCCTCAGAGGGCAGGGTGGCTGGCCACTCAGCTTGCTGCATCCTGACAGGCTTTTTGTTTTGTTGAAACATTGCATTAATATGTATTCATATTTTTCAAAATTAAAATAACTTATCTTTCACTAATTCTAGAAATATGTGCTCACTGTAGATTTTTAAAAGGACACTGCAATTTAGAAATAAAGTAAAAGTCACTTGAAACCCCTTCCAGGGACAATTTCTTTTCCATTTTGGTGAGTTTTCTTTCAGAGAAATATATTGCCATATACTTTTTTACAAATAAGTAAAGATGTACACTTTTAGATAAGTGAGATCTTGCTATACATATTGAAATATTTTCTCCTCCACCCAATGATATGCTTCAGACTGCTTTTAATATTATCAGTATTGTTGAAATCAGCATTTAAATTGTAAAGGGTACATGGTAGTACTGTATTTAAGTGTATTTCTATACCATTATGTACTTAATTGTCCTCATTGATGTATTTTGCAGTTATTTCCACTTTTTGTATTATAAATATTTCTGTGTCAAATACTCTTTATAAAATGACATCTTGTTTTAGTTTGCGTTTCTTTAATTGTGAGATTAATCTTAGTTTCATATGATTGTTGGCATTTGTATTTCTTTTTGAAAGAATTATCTGTGACTTTTGACCATTTTTATATTGGATTGTATAGTTTTTATTAATAGTTTTTGATGATATTTTTACATTAAAGCGGTCAGGTCTTTGTATCTGTGTATCTCAAGTACTTTTTTCTTAGTTTGCAGTTTGCCTCTGAACTTGTTTATAATATTTTCTCCCAAACTGTGCCTTCTCTTTTTATTTTCTTTGCAATATCTTTGGAACAGCAGAGTTTTTATTTTGGTTTTTAAGGCATTTTTAAAATTGAGAATAAAAATTGTATCTATCTATATATATCATGTATGAGAAGATGATTTGAAAAAAATATATTGTGAAATGGCTAAATTGAACTAAAAATGTATTACTTCATTTACTTGTTTTGGTGCAGTGAGAATATTTAAAATTTACTTTTTAAAATGATTTTCAACAATAAATATGTTGTTAACTGTAGTCATCATGTTATAAAATAGAGCTCTTGAACTTTTCACTTCTATCAAACTGAAATTTTGTATCCTTGATGAACATCTCCACAGACCTCTTCCCTTCTCCTCAGCCCCTGGTAACCATCATAGTACTTTCTGCATCTGTAAGTTTAATTTTTTTAGGTTCTGCATGTTAAGTGAGATCATGTAGTATTTGTCTTTCTGTGACTGCCTTATTTCACTTAGCATTATGTCCTCATGGTTTAACCATGTTGCAGATGACAAGATGTCCTTCTTTATAAAGGCTGATACTGCTCCACTCTCTCTATATACATTTTCTTTATCTCATTATCCATTGATGGGCACAGGCTGATTCTGTGTATTAGCTATTGTGAATAATGCTGCAGTGGACATAAGGAACAGGATCTTTATGATACACTGATTTCAGGTTCTTTGGTCTTAAACCCAGTAGTGGGACTGCTGGATCATATGGTAGCCTTATTTTTAATTTTTTTAAAGGAGCTTCCATACTCTTCCCCAAATGGCTATATGTGCTTAGAAGAACAGAAGTTTTAAATTTTGTTCTGCCTTGGTTTATATTATTTCATCTAAAAAAAAAAATCTTGGCCCAACCTAAAGTCACAAAGATTTTCTCTTATACTCTCTTTTGAAAGTCTTAGGTTTTACATTTAGGCCTATAATCCACTTTGAGAATTAAAAAAATATGATATATGAGGTAAAGATCAAGTTTCATTTATTTTGTAGGTGAACATACAATTGTTCCGTACCATTTATAGGAAAAATTCTTCTTTCTCTCTTGGAATTACCTTGCCATTTTTGTTATAAGTATATATGTTTGGTATATTTCTAGAGTCTATTCTATTCCATATATCTGTTTATCTTTATATCATACCATGTTGCCTGGATTACTGTCTGATAGTAAGTCTTGAAATAGTGTGAGTTCTCCAGTTTTGTTCTTCATAGTTGTTTTACTATTCTAGGTCCTTTAAATTTCAGTTAGCTTTTTTATTTCTACAAAGACATTGTGAGGATTTTGATTAGTGTTGTATTCAATCTCTAGATCAATTGGGGAGCTGCTATCTTAGTATTAAATCTTTTGATCCATGAACACAGAATATATTTCCATTTATTTAGGTCATCTTTAATTTTTCTCAGTTTTGTTTCCCAGCTGTCCACATATAGGTCTTGCATGTCCTTTGTCAGATTTATTCATAGGTATTATGTTGCTTTGGATACAATTGTAAATGTTTTCTTTTTAAATTCCAAATTTAGTACTTAATTGCTCATGTGTAGAAATATGGTTGATGAGAGGGGTCACTCAATGGAGAAAGAAAAGTCAGGTTGGTGATGACTTCATTGGTTTCTGAGCAATAGGGACCGTAGTTCCAGGAGGCTGCGGCTTACCTCAGGCTGATACTTTGGGCAGATATTTAGGGCTCTCTCCTAGAGTGTTTCCTCCTTCCCCAAACTGGGCTCCACGACAGCAGGCATTACTCATCTGTGTCCTTGGCACACAGCCCAGATCCTGGCACAGGGTGGGCAATAGTAAACATTTTCATGAATGAAAATGATATATTTTTAAAGAAGTAACTTTATGGAGATGTAGTACTAGCTATTTATATTAGGCCTCATTTTTTCCACGATGCTTTTAGTATCCATACATATTTTTTTTTTTGCATAGATGTAATGAGGAGTTACGTCCTACTTTACATCCTTCTTTTATCACTAATTTAGGTTGACTGTAGCATATTTTGGCTCAGCGCATAAAGTCATCTAGCAATGAGTTCAATTGTGATTCTTGAGGGATTAGAAGAATTGTGAGGCTCTTAGATTAAACAAACAAACAATACTCCTCCCCAGAACTCAGCTATAAACTATTGTGAAAGAGCCATAAACTATTGTGAATGCTTTAATTCATTAATATATTGATTCACTCATCCAACATACTTGCATAAAAGTCACTAATTTCCAGGCACTAGGATAGATGCTGGAGCCGCAAAAGCTCATGTAAGCTGGTTCCTTATTCCAAGGGACTCCCAGACTGGGGGGAGGGAAGATAGATGTGAAAAGACAATTTTAGTGGAGCACTTAAGTACCATGATGGGGGAATGGGCAAGGCACAACAGGGGCATGAAGAGGGATAAGGAAAATCTTTCTGATGTAGCTTAGGCAAGAGCTGAGTCTTTAAGGTCAAGTGCAAATCATGTGTGAGAGTGCATCCAGAAAGGGGTTCACATTACCACAGGAGAAAACTGGCTCCCACTGCTGGCTTCTTAGAGTAATGTGTACTTTGCATGTTGTTTCTTCCTGGGTTATCGTCCTTTTCACCAAAAGCATCAGTGATGATATGGTAGTACCGTTTAAATACCATTTACTGAGCAGTGTCTTTGTTTGTGTTTTAGGCTAAGCACTAAATACATTTTGTCTTATATTATCTTCCTAATGAGTCTGGAAGCCTTAATGTTGGAGAAAACCGAGACTTGGTGAGATTGAGTGAGACTGAGTGACTTGTCTAGGGTTTTACAGCTGTTAGGTATCAGTGGAAAGACCTGCACCCAC